TATGGTTACAACTGTTGGACCTTTGCTGGTGTATCTGTCTCGATGGAAAATAAATTTTACCGTCCTGGTTTGGAGTGGAAACTCAGACTTAAAATTTGGTTCATAATCTCTCTTCTAATTTTGACACTTTGACATTCTTGGCCTTGTATGAAAGTGTAGATGGACTCGATTATGTTCCTGTTTTGTAGAGCTTCTGATTTTTGGTACCATTTTATTATGCCCTGTTCAGGAAGTGTTAAATACATAAAAGCTGTTACTATGGAAGACAAATTGTGTTTCTGATGGTCTGAGGAAATCAAGCACAATGGGAAGGTGAGATTGTCTGTGTACAAGGGGGGAAGAGGAGCTAAGCTGAGCTTGTCTTAAGGAAGTTTAATACAAAAACCAGTTGTGTTGGAGTAGCTCTACCTCTAAATAAAAGCAAACTGTTCTGTTCAAGTGTGAGCTTTAAATATTACTGTCCCCAGCAATACTCAATTCAACATTCAGAAAATCCTCAGTTCTGTTGATTGAAGTGTGAAGCATCCCTCATCTGTTGTTTTAAATCTTATTCAATTCATTTCAATTCTTAACGTTTGGCAATTTGGGGATGCTTTTACTCAGTTTCAGGAACTGTTTGTGTTCAAAAATGGTTCAGCTATGGAATAATTGGAGCTGTACTGATAATCTTTATTACAGTAAAGTCCAGTTCCACCCCCCAGTGTGCTGATAGCAGATCCAGGGTGACTCTGGCTTTGGTTAATGATAAACATTAATAAAGTGTGAGGTACATGTTGTATATGAACAGCTCCTCTGATATCTACAGGAGGAATTACTTCCATTTGCTGTGATCACAAAGAGGGACTTGCTGCAAACAGATCACTTTCTTTGCAAAGAAGAGGAATTGTTCTTGTAACACATTAACATAAAAAAGAAGCAAAACTTTTTATAACGTCCCTGCCTGTAAACCTGAGCATGTCTCCAGGGGTGTGAGGGGTCAGAGTTAACAGAGCTGATATTGGTGTTCAAAGTACACCTTTCAAGCCTCAGTTTTGTTCTGAGGGCTGTTCTGTAGCATGGTGGCTTTTGGGGTACAGTTGGTGTTGCTTCCTGAGCCCACTGCCACCAGCAGTTTTGATTAGAAAATCTGGAATATGGATCTCAATAGACTGTATTGAGATGTGGTCTAATAATTGAGACTTGAAAGATGAGTATGGTCCTGTTGTAGTCTAAGGTTCTTTTTTAATACCCAGAAGTAATAGTTATTTTCCCTCCACCTTCATTGTGTCCCATCACTTCTGCCCATCTTCCTGAGCAGCTTAAAGCACAGACTGCCATAGCATGCAAAATGAATATTGTATTTTGGCTGTAGAGGTCTCCCAGGGAGTGTCTCAAACCATTGTCTGACAGAATTCTGAAATGAAATATTTCATTTTATTGCTGTGCTGGAAACTGGTAAAGTATTGAGAGGGATATCAGTGCTCAAATACTGATACCCCTTTCCCTGAGACACCCAGGTAATGATCATTTCACTGTAGGACTTAGTGCCAAGGATAAAATTGGGACTCAGGTTGCTTAATAAAACATTCTGTACTTCAAGTCAAATTGGGACAAGTCTGTGGAGAAGCAGGGTTGGACTGTGTAAAAATCAGATATCTGTCAGTGATTGTTCCTATGGTAGGAAGTAGATCCATAACACTGCCACAGCACTGGGGGCAGGAAGAAAAGGGCTGGGAGCTTGGGGAGGCTGCAGGGTTGGGTGTCATCAGTGGGAATTTTGGAAGGGAGCATTGCTGGTTAGGTGGCTGAAGAGCCCACTGTTTGGAAGTACTAAATTATCCCTGTTTACAGTGAAAAAGCAATTGACATAAACTTTAAATTCCTATTGCAACAAAGTACTGCTCCAATTTCTACCAAGGAGTAGAAATTGTAAATTGACTGTTTCAGTACAGACTCATGCACAGTTAAATAAAATGGATATTTATCTTTTTTAACCCCCTGTCACAACCAGCTTGTTTTTACACACTCATTTATTGTGTGCTGAAGCTCTGTATTAAAATTCTAAAATTCTGTGCATGAATAAAAGGATTCTGTGGGTAAAGCTGTAATAGTTCAAACCAAACCCTTCTCTCCCTCCTGCAAACAGCAGTCAGTGCTGGAGCTGGTGGGGCTGTTTTAATCAGTAGTTGTGTATTTGGCTACATTATGTTTCAGAGCATGTACCTGGGCAGTTTTGAAAGCAGCTTATTTTATTTCTTCAGAGCTGTTGTAGAAATCAAGGGACTATTTAGGATTAAAAACTTGGGTTGAAATAATGGATGAAAATATTTCTGCAACTGACTTTTTATTTTAGATGTCAGACTATGGAATGATATCATTTACTGTAGCAGCTCTGTGCTGAGCAACACAAACACGTAATCACTTTCTCATTTTCTTTCTTTCAAGCCTTGGGTATTACTTCCACTGCTTCTGTGGACTGAATTGTATTAATTTTTAAAAGCCTTCCAAAAAACAGCAACAATCTCCCATTTTTTCCCTGTTTTAAAGTGTATGTTGAAAAAGCCTTCTCTTTGTAGATGAGATCTGTAGTACACTGCTCACTGAAAATGTCCTGTGGTTCCTCTCTGTCATAGGATGACTTCCTATTTATATTCAGTTTCAGTTGTGCTCTTGAAAGTATATTCAAGACTACAAATGACTTAGTCTCATATTTGTTATTTTGCAAAGAGCTGTTTAAAATGTCTCTGTAATTGACCCTGACATCCAGCTTTCCTGCCTATTGGAAATGCCTTGAATATTTTACCACAGCCTTCACATTCAGAGAGGGTGAGTGAATAATGTGTCTTACCTTAAATCGTTGAGATAAATTTATAAAGCTGCCCTGTCATAATAAATTTAACACTTCAGTTCTGGTGATTCAGGCAATTGATAGCAACAGTGGTAGTTTTCATGGAAATAGTGATGTTGGATATCAACAGCCTGTTAGAGGGGTCTCTCCAAGTATTTTAAGTCTTGTGAATATTGAGTTTGAACAACTTGGAGCAGTTCAGAAGTAGGTTAGAAAATCACTTGTGAACTTTGCCATATGTTCTGTCCAGTTGCTTGAAAGTTTGAAGATTGTTCTTCCAACAGCTTCTTGTGTTGTTTGCGCATCTGCAGCAGCGTTGCCAGGCGTGGTGCCTGTGGCTGCCTGCAGTTCTGCAGCGCTCTGAGGATGCTGGTGCAGGTTGCCAGACCTCTCAGCTCATGAGGGCTTGGCCTGTCCAGCCCTATCTGCTACTGTGTGTCTGCAAATAACCCTGCAAATAACCCTGCTCAGGACACCAGCAGAGCAATTGAATAGTTTTGCCTTTTTTGGCCTAGGTCGCCGTTTGTCTAAGGCTATTTTCTCTTGCTGCTCAAGGGCATTGTGGCTTAAATTAGTATTCACATGGTATAATGACACATTTGTGGCTGGTTTTTTGTCCCTTCATGTACACACGCTCACAAAAACACACATCTAACTCCACAGGCAAAACTGTACAATGTTTTGCTGGTTTTAGTGGTTGGAGTTCCTCTGAATTTACAGGAAGTCACGTGAGGCAAGTTTTCCTAACGTTTGAAGCAGCACTTCATTCTCCTCTTCAGGGTTCTGTTCCACAGTTTTGCACTCCAGGGTGTGAGGGGTTGGATGAGCCAAGGCTGTGACACCACTGTAGAGCTTTTCATGATATTATTTCTTAATGTGCATTATTGCTGCTGATTGCATAAGCAGTTCCTGCAGGAATTGCAGCTTATTTTAATTTCACTGCGGGGACACAGATTCCACCTACTGAAAAGATCAGCTGTCTTTAGTTAGTTATTCACCCTTCTTTATTTCTTTGCATTATTTTATAATAATATAGCTGACACTTGAATGCTTCCAGTGTTAAATTACATTAGGAGTGTTCAATCATGTGTTAATTAGCAATATTGACATGCAGAATGTAGAACCCCTTCATGTGAATCAGAAATGTGCCTCATTAATATGCTTTAGCAAGTTGATTTGCATGAAGCATTTATTTGCAGTAGGCACAAAATGGTAGAGCTTTAGCTTTTTTCTTAAAAACTAGGAAAAGCTGTGTGAGAGGAAGTAGGAAGGGAGAATTAATGCTGAGATGTTAGGGATGCTGGAGCTCAACTGACAACTGGATTTATCACTGCCATTTTTAGGAGTGTGGTGTTAACTTTCATCATCTGCTGCCTTGGTGTCTCAAGCACTTGTTAGTGGATGTTTTGTTTTTTATGGATTGTTTATTTTTTTTTTCCTTCAGTATTCTCTTTTGCAAAGTAGAAATGTGCATGACAAGATAAACACAACAGATCTGTGAAAATTGTAACTGGGATATGAATTGTGGTTATTTAATAGAGCAGCATTACTGGAAAATAAAGCTACTGTGTGATCTGAGGTTAACTTCCAACTCTGAAACATCTGGCAGAATTCAAAGTGTAACATTACAAGAGCATATTTGCAGAAGCAAGTTATTCTCACAATTGGTGCCAAAGAAAAGGAAAATACAACTTCTTCTAGTTTTCTAGATAAATAAATGTGGATAATGTGATTTTTGGAGAGCAGAGGACTCACTTTGGGCATAGAGAAAACAACTAAAAGACTCTGCAGGACCAGTTGTTCTGAAAAGGGAACTTGATTCACCTTAGCTACGGGTTTTGATTGTTTATAAATATGTCTTCTGAAATTGATATCTTGCTCTTGAGAACGTTTTCCCTTTGCTTTCAAGTGGCCATGTGGTTAGAAAAACAATCCAGTGATTTACAGCTTCTTTCTTGGAGGTTAGGTAGGGGCAAGTCTCAATTGCCAAGGTGTATTGGATACTCAGAAAATGGAAGTATTGCAAGTCTCAAAAGCAGCAAGGAGCTGCTGGTGATCTCAGATCTGTGCAGTTACTGGAAAGTCATTTTTCTGGCTGGTGGAGGGAAGGGACACTTGCTCAGTCATCTCTCAAACACCAAAATCCTGACTTTGTCTTGTCATTTCTTTGTAGTTGGAGACAAGGTTCCTGCTGATATAAGAATTACTTCTATCAAATCTACAACTCTAAGGGTAGACCAGTCAATTCTCACAGGTACAGTTTCGGTGACTTTTATGTAATTATGTGCATAATTGAAAGTGCCTTTTCACCATTTCTTTGCAATGATCCATTAGAAACAAGCCTGCAGCTATTGAAGTTCTGTGCATTCAAGTGCAGTAAATTTCTGATCTGGTAACTTCTAGAGTGGCTGAATGTGTTGCTTCATCATTGGCTTTGTTTTCCCTTTAGAGGGATGCACATTCTTACTGAGTCTTGTAATGCTTTTTTGGCCTTCCCCTTTCCCCAACAGACACAAGCAATTTGTGGGAAATTAATTCTATTTTTTTATTTAAAAATGGATTTCTCTTCTAGTTCACGGAGTCTTCTAGGTTTGAACATCATGTCACCACTCCAATATGAAAGTATGTAAATCTTACTAAATGTCTTCTGCAGCAGCAGAGAACAACTTTTGCAATGTTGGCAGCTTTTAAGCTGCTGCCACTAAAGACTCAGTGCACTCGAGCCTTATTTGCTCAAATTCTGTGCACACACATCCGTGTGTTTTCTGATACCAGCCCTCAAATGCAGGAGCTATTTTTAGAGCCCTTTTCAGATTTGTTGAAAACAAAACAAAGTAGCAGCACTTCTGAATATAGGAAAGAAGCTGGGAATCAACCAAGCATGCTACGACAGTTTTCTTTCAGCTAGAACATGGAGATCTGTCTGCCTGTTTTGGTAGCATAAATTATTGTTAACTAGCTCTGAATTTTAAAACAGTAAAGTATTCATAGGAAGCCTATTTTTTATCCTTGAATCTGTCTTGAAACAGGCTCCAGAGTTTCTCACCACAGATCCTGAATAGCACAAGACTGATCAAGCTTTACTTATGTATAGCATAGGAAAATGGATGCACTCCATGCCTGTAAAGCTGCTGGAATAAGTACAAATAGCCCATCAGAATTCTGTAAAAAGGGACTGTTCCTTGCCTTTATTTAAGGAACTGAATTCTTGTTTTAATGGAAGACTTTGCTGTTTTCAGCCAAGTTGATGCTTAAGTCTCCTGTCAGATGAAATAGGACTGAGGTGTGAGATGCTGCTCAACAAAATCCCTTTAAAGGGAGGAAGCTTTGGCTCTCTTGAGCTCACACAAAGTGTGTAACTCAGTGACTGAAGCTGAGAGCACCACCTTGTGAAATCTGGTGTAGCAGTGAACACCTGCTCTTAAAGAAAAGGAACCTTTCTATACCTGTGTGACATGCTTGTAGAAACTGCTACAGAATTTTTGCTAAAAGCCAGACATTTGGTTTTCTTGGCCAACTGAAGTATTTCCTGTTTCACATAAACAATTAAATTAAGATCATTTGAAGAAAGAATTCTGACTTCCTAAAAATTTCAGAGCTGAAGATTGTAACTTTTTGATTCCCTCAGGACTCCAGATACAGAATCTCTTCTAAGATTATAATCTTTATTTCAGGTGAATCTGTGTCTGTTATTAAGCACACAGACCCTGTGCCTGATCCTCGTGCTGTAAATCAAGACAAGAAGAACATGCTCTTTTCTGTAAGTAAATTACTTTGAGATTTTCAAAACATTTATAACATAACACTGAAGCTGACAAAAAAATGTGCAAAACTTCAGGTCTTCCCCCAAAAACTGCATGATATGTTCCCTGTACATATCTCTATGTGTGTCTCCATACACGTTGAACTAAATTAACTTTTAATAAAAGCTGTCCTCAGGGGAAGATGCTGCATGAAACCAGTCTATATGAGGAAAATTATTTTTGTCCTGCAGAAGGAAGTCTTGGAGGGTGGAGCACACACACTTCTAGTGTTCTAGTGCTTCTGCAGTAATTTTCTAATGTAATAGTTCTTCAGTGTGATAAGAGCCCACACAAATTGTGGTGTTGTGTAGCTAAAATTGGGAAGTGGCTTTCTGTATAGGAATGAAACAGTTCCTTCAAATTGATTTGAAGGAAAGGTTAAATATCTCTCAGATAAGAAAATAACTTTTTGCTGGCGGGCAGCTTAATTTTACTTTTTCTTTCCATGTTAAATATGTTCACACAGGGACCCCCAGAGAACACATGTATTACTCATAGCAAATAACATTAAATCTGACAAGAGAGAGCCCAGATTAAAAAAAGAGAGGTAAAACACATTCAGTATTCCAGCTGAAACACATAGTGCTTGCTCAGCAGCTGGGTTTGCCTGTGGTGCTTGTGAGAGATCAATACTGACTCGTTTTGAGCCTGTTCTGGAGCAGAAATTCCACCCTGGAGTGTTCCCTTACAGACAGAGGCAGTGCCATCCTCTTCCTCTTTGCCCTTTTCCATATCCTGGCTGAAGCACAGTCTGAACTTGTATGATGTGATTTGGTTTGAGGGTTTTTTTTGTTTTGGTTTGTTTTTTTTTTTTTTTTAAATTAAAACCAAACAAAAGAAACTCACCCCCAGAACCTGTTTGTAAATTGTCTCCAAGTTCTCCCTGCTCTTCCTTTACCTCAGGGTACAAACATTGCTGCTGGAAAGGCCATGGGGGTGGTCATTGCGACGGGGGTGAACACTGAAATCGGGAAAATCCGCGACGAGATGGTGGCGACGGAGCAGGAGAGAACCCCCCTGCAGCAGAAGCTGGACGAGTTTGGGGAGCAGCTGTCCAAAGTGATCTCCCTGATCTGCATCGCCGTGTGGATCATCAACATCGGCCACTTCAACGACCCCGTGCACGGCGGCTCCTGGATCCGCGGCGCCATCTACTACTTCAAGATCGCCGTGGCCCTGGCCGTGGCCGCCATCCCCGAGGGCCTGCCCGCTGTCATCACCACCTGCCTGGCGCTGGGCACGCGCAGGATGGCCAAGAAGAACGCCATCGTCAGGAGCCTGCCCTCCGTGGAGACCCTGGGCTGCACCTCGGTCATCTGCTCCGACAAGACGGGGACGCTGACCACCAACCAGATGTCCGTGTGCAGGGTGCGTCCCCCGGCTGCTCCTGCTCCCCTCAGCCCCTCTCAGGAGGCAGCACTGCTCAAATTCTCCTGATCCCGGCTCTTTGGGTTCTCCTCTCACCAAAATCTTGCTCTGTTTCCCTAAGATAAGCCTCCACTTTGAATGCAGCTTTGCACTGTGTAGTCTTGAAGGCTTTTGTCTCTTTCCTTATTTAGTCATGGCCAAAAATAGCTGTACCCACACTAAGGAGGAGAAGGTTGTTTGTAAGCAGCTTTCCATTGACTTGCCTGTGAGCCTTTCAGGTTACTGGCAGTTCTTTGGTGTGATTTGTGCCGTGCCTTAGAAAGTTACACTGTAGAACAGGCTGTAAGTATCAAACACTTGCCTCTTCAATTGAGAAAGACAGCAATGGTGGAGAAACTTACTATGAGAAAAGGAGATTTACTGCAGTAACTTGGGTAGTCAAAGGTGTTTTTACTCCTGAGTGGTTCCACCTTTATTTGGTTGTCTTGCCTTCAGTGGCTTTGCTGGTCTGATGGGGATCACTGCAGTGTTTTCAGTGTGCAGCACTGACTAATCTGGCAGCTTGAGGTGCAGTTGACCCTGTCACCAGCATTGCCAGGGTCATCTTCAATGCTGGTGTATTTTTAGGTAAGCATGAGTCCTCCCTTCGCCTCAATACTCTGTGTAGTGTTGGCTAATTTGGGACTTTCATGGCTGGTCCCTTAACATGTTCATGTTCAGTTGCCAGTTTGCCCTTCTGTGTGGGGATTTAATGGAGAAAACACTGAGTTCTTCTATTTAATAACTTCAGATGTTCAGTGGCACAGCAACTCCAGCATGCAATGTCCAGAGCCTCATTACATTGGGTTAGAATTCCAAATGTGTGCATGTTGGGCTCGGCACACCAGTGCTGAAAGTTTGTAAGCCCTAAGCACTTTGTTCTCATGTGATTGATGGCTTTTTCTTCCTAATTGGTGGTTGACTTGTTCTACTTCCTTAAGTATCGTAGTATTTATACCTAAGAGACACAAAGCAGCTGCTCATCAGTATTCCAGAGAAGGTTACTTGCAGTAGAGTTGCATAACTGCCCTAGTCTTTGCAGGGATTTTTTCATCCTGCAGATGCCAAAAGCAGGAGGCTTCCCTGGTTAACTCATCATTTAAGTTGTGTTTATTTAAAAGCTCAAAATGCTCTACTCCTTATTTAGAAGGCTAAATGTTTTAGATCTTGTCCTGCACAACTTGGTTCCTTGTTAACCTCCAAGGGCTGCAAAAAAGCATGAATTGAAGTTTGCAAAAATGTAGCAAAATTCTAATACCTGTGGCAATGACTTTATTTTATTGGGCTGTGTTTTGTGAGGATGCTTGTCTAAAATGGAGGGCACACAATGAGGGGAGAGGAGGGCATTGCTAAAATGGGATGTGACAAAATGGCCTGTGCTAACCAGTGGACCAGGAGTTCCATTAGGATACACCATCAATAGTGAGAAATTCTCTTCTCCAGTGCTACTCCAACAAGCCATGAGAGTAAGGCAGCTCCAGGCACTGTGGTTTTTATCTCCATCCTCTCAGATGGGATTCTGCCTGCAGCTCTCCTAGAAAGGAAGCAAAGGAAAGGCTGAGTGGCAGATCTCTTAGAGGTACAACTGCATCCTTCAGATTAGTGTCTGAATTTGAAAATATCATTTCACCAGTGCTAGTAGAGCACTGGAGTTAGCTGATTGGTTTAAACTCCCAGTGTCCCATGTGGTAAAGTGACTTGGAACTGGAAACCAGGACAGGAAACACTTTCATTTTAGGCTGGTATTAAGAGAAACTGGCTATAGTCTGCCTCTTGCTAAAACCTGACCTCTTAGATCTCAGCTTCTCCTATTTGTAGATTATTTTATTTTGATTTTGAGAGAAATTGTCAGTCTCCAATGAGCTGTGTTTGACTATGCCATTAATTCATGATTTGTGTTACATGAGAATTAATTCACAGGTGTGAAGCTTAGGAAGAGCTTGGATCTAGTGAGGATTGTCAGGTGGTGTGGGAATGGTCTCCCCAGCTGAAGTGTGCACAGTTCTGTGGTTTTCAGCTCTGTTTTCCACAGTGCTCTGTAGGCAGAAGGGCTGTTCCCTGTGCTTTGTGCTTCAGTGTATGGAGCTGTTCAAACATTCGTGGGATCCAAGTGCACAGAATCAGGTCTTGTCTGGTTTGTTTATTCAGACTGAACTTGCCTCTTGTACCTGCTTGCCTAAGGCCTGTTTAAATCTCTTGCTTTAATTATTGTTCCAAGGTAGTAACACTTCTAACTCTCTAATTTCAGATGTTTATCCTGGACAGAGTAGAAGGAGACAGCTGCTCTCTGAATGAATTTACTGTAACTGGTTCAACATATGCTCCCATGGGAGAAGTGTAAGTGTTCTGTTCAAGTTCAACACTTGTCTGTTCATGCATTCACTGTTCCTTTAGTCTAGAAAAGGGATGCATGTAATACTAGTGATTGTTAGTAAGGGAAAGGGCAGCCAGTGAGAATGCACACTGAAGGGCTGGGGGGAGAGTAATAAACAGCAAAACAAAGATACATTGTAGAAAAGTAAACCTTCATAAAACATTAAAAAAGTCTCCAGTATTGCAGTGTTCCCTTGATGATCTAAAAATTAGTAAGGGGTAGAGAGGATTTATTTTATTGGATCTTCCAGGACTGAGATTAGCTGTCTCAGTGCTTTTAAGTGAGATTTCCTCTCTGATATAAGAACTGGGTAAATCTGAAGAGGTGAGCATTTGCTAATCTGTGAGCTCAGTGTTTCCAATTTGCCTGCCTCAGAGAATGAGGAAGTTGTTTTTTTTCTGAGGCATCTTCTGAATGTGTTGGAGTTACCTCTTAAATTGACTGCAAATTCCTGTCCCTGGCCCTCAGTAGTTTATTGTACTTCTCCTGGTGTGTGTTTGTCCCAGCCTTTGCTATCTGAGCTGCTGTTAAACCCAGTCCTTTAGGAAAGGAATGAGGTTTGGTTTACTTTATCAGCTGCAAGTCTCTACTAGTGAGGTAAGTGGTTCATCCTGGAACCATCCTGGAAACTTCAGGAATTTTTAGGACTCTGCTTCTTGAAGAAAAGCCTCTTTTTTACTGGATTGCTGCAGCTCCTTTTACTTGATCAGTCCTCCATGTTTTTTATAACTTTATCAATTCTGCTTTACTTGCAGAGTAGAACTCTGCTGTGGATGATGTAGAATTTAATTTCAGTTATTGTAAACATCTCAGCCTTGTGCAGTTTCACTCGTGTGCCTCTGACTCCTGCAATCTTGCCCATCTCAGTAATGATTATCTCTGTTTAATTTCCATAGCAGTTAAGACCCTGGTCTTCCCAGCAGCTGGAATTCTTAATTCCCCAGTTCTCTTTTTTCTTTCAAAGCTAATTGCTGTCAAAAGCTTCTGCTTTCATTTCAGGAGGCAGCATTTGCTTAGACAAGGTGACTCCAGACCTTGCAAAAGTCCCAGCTATTGCACTTTAGCTGGGCTCAGAGGAGCTGCAGATAAACAAAATAATAAAATAGAGTGTGGTGACAGATGTGGGGGATAATGAGACAGCCAGCAATGTTTGTTAATGTGCTGCTTTCACTTGCTGAAGCTGAGGGAATGTGAACAAGTGTGTTAAACTCACTTCATTAGGGACACAAAGGATTCTGAGAGGGAAATTGCCTCAGAAAGGCTCTCACTGGAGCATAGGGAAACTCAGCTCAACTGCAGCCCTTAGGGCTGGTTTATTTCTGCATTTATGGACAGCTTTTAAAGCAGTGGCTTTGGAGGGATTTTAATTAAGGTGACTGACTTCACCTTGGATTGCAAACTCACTGAAAATGGAGTTTGGGGGGGTAAAGAGGCATTGCACTGCCCCAGAGCAGGACCTGCTCCAGATATGAACCATTTCTGACAGGTCTTATTGCTACTTCAGACACTGTTGGCTTCCACAGCTTATTCCATTTCATAACCATTAATGTTCTTGCACAAAATCAGTAATTCTTCACTTACTGTTAACATGTATCATACCTAACTTTCCCCTATTCATTCAGAATATAAAATCACAAGTATTTCATACTAAAAACCTCCCAAATTTCATACTGATTTGTTTTCCAGGGATATTGGGAGATTGTCAAAGTTTGGAGTAGTTTTGCCATGTCTCAGCACACTCAGTCTTACTGCAAACTGAGAGCACAAACCCAACAATAATTAAGAATTGCAGCAAAAGCTGGCAGATTGCATCTGACCTTCAGATGAGTTCATCTTGACAAACCTGAAGCTGTAAGGAAAAAATTCCTTTATCCAGATCCCAGCACCTTAGGCTCTGCATTTGTTCTTCAGAAACTGTTGATAAGGAACACAAAAACAAGGGCTGTAAAAAACACACCCTGGTATAACAAGCTATGGATATTCCAGTAAGCTGGTGTTCTTTGAGTTCAGAACAGGTGAAAACAGGAAGTTTTGGGTGGGATGGATGAGGTGAGAGCCTGAGAGCTGGACTTTAAAGCCACAGCCTGTGGCTGCAGGATTATATGCCAGATGAAACATTAAAAACATACTTGTTTCCTTAAGATTCTTTTTGTTCTCGTGCTGTTACACAACGCTGGAATTTGTTTGCAGTACCACAAGTGAACAAAAGCTTACATAATGGGACATGTCATGGTCTGTGTTGTGAATTCTTTAGAGTCATGATCCACATCTTTCCACCATCAGACTTCCCCCCTCCCCTCCTTCAGAGCTTTAATAAATGATGTTCTATATTAGCTCAGTCTTGGTAATTTTGCTAGGGGAAAATAATAGTATTGAACTGTCTTGGTTCTCTTGTGCTTGCTGTAGAAGTCTGGGAATGTTCCAGAAAAGGAATCAATTCACTGTTTCAAGTGTGAAAGCAGACAAGTTGCTTCTTAGTTGGGATGTCAGACTGGTGCTTTACTTCAGGAAGATGTACCTTCCCTTCTCTGAAACCTTCAGATATTGATTATTAAGTGTGTTCCACTACTAGAAAAGAGCATTTATTTTCTAGTTGAGTTAGTCTTGTGAAATGACTTCACTTTTCATGGCTTTAGGAGGTTCACATACAATACAAATCAATTGTTAGGAAATTAAAGAGGAAAATCTGCTTTAATGCCTGCCCAGTGCATGCACTTCATGCATTGCAGTAAAGCTGCAGAACATGCAGCAGGAAGGAAGCTGAACTCCTCAGGTGTCCTGCAATATCCCTCTCCTGCTTGGATCTCCCCTCCAGGCCCTGCACATGGCCAAGCAGTGCCTTCCTGTGCTCACACTGAGCCCTTCTCCAGCCTGCTGTGACACTGCACTGGAGGGAGGTCAGGTTCTGTCCCTCAGGGAGCAATGTCATCAGTGATCTTCTCATTCCATTCATGATTCTGATCCAAACTTCAGAACTCTCCTTTATCAATCCTGCTCTTCCCAACAACTTCTGTAGTTCCAAGTCCATAACTAGTGAGCATTGTGCCAAATGGAAATGCAGTAAAGAGGACAAAGGAAACATGAGATGCTAATACTAAATAGCTAACTTCAGTCTCCCTCTTTTCTTCCTCTGGAAAGGCATAAAGATGACAAACTCATTAAATGTAGCCAGTATGATGGTCTTGTGGAACTTGCAACGATCTGTGCTCTCTGCAATGATTCCTCTTTGGATTACAATGAAGTAAGTTCATATCCTGGGACAGAGGAGGGTGTGGGAATGAGGATAAGTGTTCTCATCTGTCTGTGTAATACCTTTCAGTGGTAAATCCCCTTCTAGTCGGGGGGGGAGAGTATTTAGGTCCTCTGAAGTATTAATTCTGAGAATTACTTGTTTGTTGAACACTGAGACCTAAATCCAGCAGCAAGTGTAATCTGTAATTTGGAGATCTCCTGATGCTGCTTCTTGCTTTGCCTCCCTGCCTTATGGTTGCTACCAAGTCTCAAAATGTCTTAAATGCTTAATCATAAAATACTGACATCTCTCTCTGCTGCTCAAATTCCTACAAATCAAGCTCCTCAAAGCTGCTCTTTTAAAATAGCTTTACTTGTTTCATGAGCCACATGAAATCTTGTAAAGCTTTTTTTTTCCTCCCCCCTCAGCCTCATTGTGATACTTGAGCTCTTGTCTCTGGTAGGTTCCAGGTGAGGTTTAAACTCCTGTGCTTTTGTTTGCTTTGTGTTAACTCAAGGCTAAGGGAGTTTATGAAAAGGTTGGTGAAGCCACAGAGACGGCGCTTACGTGTCTGGTTGAGAAAATGAACGTGTTTGACACGGACCTGAAGGGACTCTCGAGGATCGAACGCGCGAACGCCTGCAACTCGGTGAGTCCTCTTCTACTGCCATTGCTGGGACACAGCTCTGTAGTGTCTACCACCTAAATGCAGCTTATGCTTTTTGCTTTAAAAAGGTGATAAAACAACTGATGAAGAAGGAATTCACTCTGGAATTCTCCAGAGACAGGAAGTCCATGTCTGTCTATTGTACTCCGAACAAACCGAGCCGCACGTCCATGAGCAAGATGTTTGTTAAGGTCAGTCCCTCCCTGGAGAGAGAGGTGATGGAATGGCTGCAAGGTATTTTAAATACTTAAAAGTTATGGTGCAACTAACTGAGCTTGGAGTGCGAGGATGGACTTGGTAATTTAAACAAATGTTGTAATGGAATTTATTGAAGGGATTTATTAAGCTAAATTACTTATTTTTGCCTCTGCAGGGTGCTCCTGAAGGTGTGATTGACAGATGTACACATGTCCGTGTTGGAAATGCTAAAATACCTTTGACCTCGGGAATTAAGCAGAAAATAATGTCTGTCATTAGAGAATGGGGAACTGGCAGAGACACGTTGCGTTGCTTGGCTCTGGCAACCCATGACAATCCTCCCAAAAAAGAGGAAATGAATCTGGAGGACTCCTCAAATTTCATTAACTATGAGGTAAGATCAGTAGCACTTTTCCCTCTCCCAAACTGGAGAATGGTGGCTTCTTCTGTTTCATTATTCCTCGAGGAAGTTGCATCTGAGAATTTTCTTTCTGGGTATTTTTAGATGTCAGACCCAACAGTTCCCCACTTGTATGGAGGGAATGCTCAGTCTAAGAAGAGACTTTGTGTTTTAGAAGAAATTGTTGATGGCAGGTAGCTTTTTTTGGCTAAAAGCACAAGAAGAAATCAGTTAAACAGTCAAAAAATTGCATTGTGGTTTCAGCTTTTATGGTTTTTCAGTTTGGCATTGCTCAACTGCAAGACCTTTTTGGGGATTTTGTGATGGAACATACCTCTCTGGGAGTCAGGTTCACTTCCCTGCCTCTGTGCTGTCAGCTGCAAGGGCTCAGTCCATGATTATCATCTTAGCTGCTCTGTAATTTTCCAATGAAATCTGTATCTGGTATTTAGGAGGAAAGTAATAACAGTTGCATGAGTTTTTGGCTTGTGCTCTCTCTGTTCCTGGCACTGATGCTGAAAATGAAAGACCCAATGCTTGCAGGTTGAATTTGCAAGGCTGGCAAGTAGAACACATTTTAACTTCAAATTAGTGCATTTGAAACAAAATTTGGTAAGGCAGGACAAGTAGTTATCCCTAAATGTCACAACAAACACAGATGTAACATGCAGGGAAAACAATCATTTCACTGCTACCAGAGGAGAAATCATGTCACAACAAACACAGATGTAACATGCAGGGAAAACAATCATTTGGTGCAGGATCTTGCACCAAAACTCACCGTATCTCATTTCAGACCAACCTGACATTTGTGGGCTGCGTGGGAATGCTGGATCCCCCCAGGATTGAGGTAGCTTCATCCATAAAGCTGTGCAGACAGGCTGGCATCAGAGTCATTATGATCACCGGTGACAACAAGGGCACGGCCGTGGCCATTTGCCGCCGCATCGGGATCTTCGTGGAGGATGAGGACGTGTCCACCAAAGCCTTCACGGGCAGGGAGTTTGATGAGCTGTCCCTGGCTGCCCAGAGGGATGCCTGTCACCATGCCCGGTGCTTTGCCCGGGTAGAGCCTTCCCACAAATCCAAAATCGTGGAGTTCCTTCAGTCTTTTGATGAGATCACAGCCATGGTAAGTGATGGTTACCTGGTTAGAAAGGCAGATGATGTTTAAACCCTAATTAGGCCTTCTCTGAGTAATTCCCCATTCTGGAAAACACTTTTACCATGTTTCCCTGCCTGTAGTGAGTTTTAAGGATCCAAAACCACACCCAGTGCAAAATTCCTCTCTGGATCTATATGTCAACACCCACTTATTTACTGATTCATCTCCAACCCTGAATTCTCATTTTAGACTGGTGATGGTGTCAATGATGCCCCTGCACTGAAGAAAGCAGAAATTGGAATTGCCATGGGTTCTGGTACTGCAGTGGCCAAAACTGCTTCTGAAATGGTTTTAGCAGATGACAATTTCTCCACGATTGTGGCTGCTGTGGAAGAAGGACGTGCCATTTACAACAACATGAAACAGTTCATCCGATACCTCATCTCCTCCAATGTTGGGGAAGTTGTTTGGTAGGTTTAAATTTATTTTTTCTTTGAGCTGGAGTAGTGATGATGGAGTCTTCCAGTATTTCTCACTCAAACCAGAGGAGGAGGTTCTCCAGGCAGTGGATCTCTGTGGAAGTTGCATGTTCCTGGCCTTTAGTGAAAAATTGCAGCTTGCCACAAAAGTTGCACATTGTGTTATTTAGAATATCGAGGAGGAGGTTCTCCAGGCAGTGGATCTCTGTGGAAGTTGCATGTTCCTGGCCTTTAGTGAAGAATTGCAGCTTGCCACATTGTTGCACATTGTGTTATGTAGAATATTCTAGCTCAGTAGGTAATGCTTTCCAGTTATTTCTATGATTGGAATAATTCTCTAGAGAAGGAAAACCAAAACCTTAATCAAACAGTACAAGATGTGGAATTTCAGATAACATAGTCCCAGGCATAGCTTAGATGTTTGTTTAACCTCAGGTTCCAGGAACATGCCTTGTGCTCCTCTGGGAGGAGCAGTGGTGACCCAGCACCACAGAATGCATTGCTGGTGACAGAATGTAAATGCTGATCTCCTCACAGTCCTTGCATCAAAGCAGACCTTTCCCAGAGTGGGATAAAGCACAGCAATTGTCTTGCCTTGTTTCTTGTCAGCTTTAAGGCTGTCCTTCACATGGCTCTTGCTGCAGCCCCTATTTCTGTTCTATTTATTCACACAGGCTTGGAGCCATGAAAGTTACAGCCTCAATAAACTTCTGCAGGGAATAGCAGTAATCTAGGGAAATTAAGGTTGGTTATTTGAGCCAAAATGCATCTTTTAGAAAGTGGTTTGCAAGCTTTTATCCATATGTATGTGTATATTTAGCTATACAGACAAGTAGAGTGGAGAAAAAACAACCCTAAAGTCAAAAGTCTTCAATTTTTGAAGTATCAGAAGAAGACAATGCTTCAAAGCTTACATGCCAGTGGTTAGTCTTTGCTCTTGGATATGTGTTTAGTTTTCTGATTGTGAATATTCAGCTTGTGATCTTCAGTGGGTAGGAGGGAGGAGAAGTGCTGCTGCAGGTTTAGGCTTAAACGTTACTGACACGCACAAGAATAAGCTTGTAACTGGTGGATTTCTTTGTAGTATCTTCTTGACTGCTGCCCTGGGTTTTCCTGAAGCTCTGATTCCTGTTCAGCTGCTGTGGGTGAACCTTGTGACAGATGGTCTGCCTGCCACTGCCCTGGGCTTCAACCCTCCTGACCTCGACATCATGAACAAGCCACCGCGCAACCCCAAAGAGCCCCTCATCAGTGGGTGGCTCTTCTTCCGTTACCTGGCTATTGGGTGTAAGTACTAATGGCTTTTTTCCCCTTAAATAAACAAAGACATTAATTACAACCTATTTTTTTTTCAGTAGTGGAAGTCTTGAGGCCTTGAGAAGTTTAAGTGTGGCAAGTGAGGTCTTGTCTTGCACACAGCTCACGGCGCTGAGAAAAGCTCTTTGTTTTCTTGCAGGTTACGTTGGTGCTGCCACAGTGGGTGCTGCTGCTTGGTGGTTTATTGCTGCTGATGGTGGTCCAAAAGTTTCCTTTTACCAGCTGGTATTTGCTCAGTTTAATATCTTTGGGGGGAGAGGGGAGGTTCCTGCTGCTTTCATACTTGAAATGACTGTACAAACCCGGTAGGTTACGGGGAATTTGTATAATTAAACATTTTCAGACTTGTTCCTGTAAAACTTGATCATGATTAATTAGTCTTGATAGCAAAGCTCAGAGGTGGGATACCTGAGCTTCTAACAATTTGAAGGACAAATTGTTGTCTTGTAAGTGAAAGCCTAAAGAGGATTTTTCTAAAGCAGGCAAAAGTTTGTAAGCACTGGGTTTAGGAGTCACAGCAGAAACTTGCCTTTCTGTAATACTCACTGCTTTTTTCCTGCTTGCCTATTTTACATTTTAAAATTTAACAAGCTGTGGAAGTGAGTTGACTCTGTTCTGTTCCAGAGCCATTTTCTGCAGTGCAAGGAGGACAATCCAGACTTCTATGGGGTGGACTGTGTGGTGTTTGAGTCCCCGTATCCGATGACAATGGCTCTCTCTGTGCTTGTCACCATAGAGATGTGCAATGCTCTCAACAGGTTCGTATGTCCCAACAGGAAAGCCAAGCCCCTGCACAGCTTATCCAAAATCCTGCTTTTTGTGCAATTTGATCCTTGGTGAGCAGCTCAGCTAATGAAGAGTGAGTCACATTTCCCTTCTGAGTTCTGGTAGTGCAAACAAACTGACTCTTAGATAACATTTGAGATCTCTTATCATAAGGTGTATTTTTAAGTCTGCCAATTCATTCTGGTATTTTACTAAGCACAAGCAACTGAAATATTTTCCATTATTTTTAATCTAAGCTTAATCAATCAGATTATCCCTACTATGTTGGTATAAAGTGATATCAAGGAGAACTAAAATAAGAATGCTGAAGATATGGAAAATAGTTTTTCCTGCCCTAAGGGAGTGTGGGTTTAGCCAATTAATATTAGATTATAAATGGAAACCACTAAATAGCACAATGTCAAGGGTATTTTTCTTCAAATAGCTTAGAGGTCAGTTAATTTAAAAACAAATAAACTTGAAACACAAGTGCACTGGGGTAGTCCTACATAAAGATACTGCTCTACATCTGCTGCTCTGGATCTCAGCCTCTTCTCCAGCACAGCTTAAATGCAGATGGAATCAAGAGCCAGCATGAAGAAGGTGAAAGGTTTTGACCCTCTGTGAGTCTTTCAGTGAGCTCCAGCAGAAGTGGCTGCACCTGGGGCCCTGGTAGACTCAGCTCTCTTAGGCTGCCGTGTCCACACTTCCCTTTCCCTCCCATGGAGAGGGTTTTGGGGTCACAGTGAGAATAGACTAGGTGAAGAACAGGCAGAACACTCAAACTTTGAAGAGCAGACCTGAGGCTGATGGTGACTGCTGTGCCAAGCTGACTTCCAGGCCAGTCTGAAGGTGCAGCATCCAAACCGTGTCCTGGGCTGCTTCCTGCCTGGGATCCCTGTGCTGTGCCAGGCTGCTTTGTGGCTCTCAGAGCTTCCTCTTGGTGTCAGAGTCACACACAAGCCATGTTTCTGTTGCAGCCTGTCAGAAAACCAGTCCCTGATGAGGATGCCCCCGTGGGAGAACATCTGGCTGGTGGGGGCCATTTGCTTGTCCATGTCCCTCCACTTCCTTATCCTTTATGTGGAACCACTGCCAGTAAGTGCTCGTGCCTTTCCCCCACCCCTGAACTTCCAGACAGAGCAAAACCTTGGGTGGGGCTCGAGGCCAGGGCTGGAGGGGGAGCTTGGTAACCCCTGGCTTTTCTTTCAGATTATCTTCCAGATCACACCTCTGAACGTGACGCAGTGGCTGATGGTATTGAAAATCTCCCTCCCTGTCATTCTGCTGGATGAAACACTTAAATATGTGGCCCGTAACTACCTGGAACCTGGTAAAGATGATAGTGTGCGGCCTGCCACCAAACCCTGTGCCCTGTCAGCATGCACCGAAGGAGTTTCCTGGCCGTTTGTGTTCATTACTATGCCCCTGGTTATCTGGCTTTACAGCACAGACACTAACTTTAGTGATATGTTCTGGTCTTGACTGACATGGTGACGAGTTTTACATTCAAAGGAGAAAAAAAAAAAAAAGTTTAACTTAATTTTTTTATTGTTTAGAGCAACTGTCTATTTCTGCTGAATTTTCACATGAACATATTTGCCGGTGATGGAGGTTTCATAATCTAGATTTTGGTTTTTTGCTTTTCTGACTTCAGTGGGGGCAATATATTCCTCTTTTATACACAGTTAAAGTGTCCATTGACATGTACAGAGAACTAACACTATTTTATGCAAATATTTTTTTGTAGATGAAAAGCATGTACAGTGTTCTGTTCAATAGTCTATTCATCATGTAAAAAAAAGTAAATTTTTTTTGAGCCAGCGGACACTATCAAACTAAATTGGCAGCAGATTTTAGGGAATGAATGTGTGTTGTCTAAAACTAAAAAAGCATGTAACTGTTTGTCTTCTGCATGATCATCCAAACTTAATTTGTCATAAAGTCAGGTTTTGTTCACAAGCAGAACTTTCTGCTCCCTGGGTCAGGATTTCTTCTCGGTCCCCTCTTCCCTCACTCTCGGTTCTTGACTGTCCTTGTTTACACCACTTTCTGTATGAGGTATGCCTGATCTTGCTCGTGCAGAAAATACCATTCCAGGTGCAGCCTGCTGGGGTTCTTCCATACTCTCCACACACATAGGGTTGTGTTTTTTTAAGGATTATTTATTTGTCTATTGTATTTTATTGTAACAGACCTTACTTTGCCAGTGTTGCCCATTATGCAGGGATAGGGAGGGCTACTTCTGTCTCCTTAAATCTAAAGCCTTTTTAACACACACAACTGTTTCAATTCAAAAGAGGGTTTAAGTTGGGGTTTAATACCTTTTTTACACGTGTTTTCCCCCTTTAAGATCAAAATTTGCAATGAGACCTGAAAAAATGCACTGCATAGCTAGAAATTGGATTTCCTACACTTAGGGCACTAATGCTCAGTTGTGTACATGGAGTTACTCTGCTGGCCTGTTGTTAGCCTGACTTGAAGTAACAAGCTCGTGTGTGTTTTTTGTAAAATCTGTAAATAGCACATGACCAAATTGAACATATTGTATAGAACTATTTTTATTTTAATGTGGCACTAACCACCTTCATTATTACGGTAAATGTTAAAGCATGTTTTCAAATTCAGTCCTGTATCAACAATGTGTAAGTCATTAACAGTCCTAACTGTGGTGTTTTTCTCCAATGCCTTCCAACTTTCATCGACTAAAGTGAGTATTTTTCTTCCATTTCACCCTGCCAGTGGTGACTTGCTGTAAAATAGCATATGCTGTATACATGTTGAAGAATAAATAGTAATTTCCTTCATTCCCATGCTGTGTTTTGTCAAACTCTGCTGTGCTACATTATTATCACCACTTTAGACTCTTGTTTTGTGGTCTGAAGCTCAAATTACTGATTCCAAAGGCAAAGCACTTGCTTTTGGTTTAGTGTATTTTAGGGTCTTGTTTTATAGCACCTGGGAGCCTTAGTGCCCCAAGGTCTTACAGCTTTTGGTCTTAAGTTTGAGATAAAATCAGACAAATCTGTAACTTAAGACCCTGACAGCTGTTACCGTGAATGTTTAGTGTCCAAAACTCTCTGGTACTCGTGGTCAGGTGCTGGTTTACTCCAAAGCTTTTCCCTGCTCTGAAACAGGGGCTGCCCCTCTGAGCTGAACCCTTCCCTGCTCCCTGCAGTGCTCGAAGGGCAGGTGCTGCTCCTGGCAAAACCAGCTCATTATTGTTATTTGCCATCTGAGAAGGCAAAAGAACAGTCTCAGCTTAACAGGGCAGCCTTTGGAAGCTGCCCTGGGGTCACTGTGTCTGTAGAGCAGCAGGTGCTGTTATCTTGTGCTGGCTCAGTCTGCTTTAGTAACCAAATTCAAACAGCTTTGTGATCCCTCTTGGAGGGGAAGGATAGTTCCAAGCTCTGTTCTCTTGCTGCCAGCTGGAATCCAGCAAGCACACATAATTCTCTAGGTTTAAGCTCTCAAATGGAGAGGTGCTCCCTCAGAACACAGAAATTCCAGTGCATTGTGATACTTTGTTTATAGAGACTTTGACTTGATGCTGAAGTGGCTCAGAGGAGCTGACCTGATGATGTAGCAGGTGTGTTGCCAAACTGGGAGCATTCAGATCCCATCAAATGCCCTTTCTTGGTGTGGAAGAGCCAAAGTAAGGTTTTGCATTCCACAAAGCCCCTGGCCTTCACTGGCCTTTAGCTGTATCAATAACAAATGAGCAGCGTGAGGCTCATCCCTGTTCCTTGAAACAAAAAATAACAGTTCTTATGATGTAGGATTCCTTGAGATCAAAGTGTGTACCAGTGTGTTATTTGCTGGATACAAATGAGCAGCTTAGTTCTGTGTGCTCCCACTGCTATTGACAGACATTTCCAGGGCAGGAGTGCCACTGAATCCTTGAGCACGGGTTCTGCTGAACCTCAGAGCACCATGTGGTGGCCTTTTTAAAGCCACCTGTCTGGCTGCCACCATGAATAATTCTGCTTCTTGTACAATCCTGTTCCTGTCTTGTATGCCAAATAATCCTGTCATACACCCCCTTTTTGCCTCTTTTAAGAAGCTGAAGGGGAGAATGACTGTCAGTAAGTAGAATTCAGAATATTCAGAATTCAGCACCTTCTCTGTTGGATCTGTCAGTGTTGAAGATGAATCTTGCTGCTTGTCATGGATTCCCATAGAGATCTGAGAGCTCATTCATGCCACTGTCTCAGAGGCACTTGGGGTAGGGCCTTGTGTTCCTTGGACTTTGCCTTGAAATCTGGATGAGTGGTGGGCAAATGGAGCTGTTGGGATCCATCCCTGCAGGCTCCTGAGCTTACAGGAACAGTCAGGTTTTACAAGGTGCTCCTACAGAGTCCAAGCAATCTTCATCTGCCCTGTTCTTCTCCTGTTTCTCCCAGTCTTGTCCAAGTTCCCCTGCAGCAGTGGAGCCACAGGGTTCCCCAGGATCAGCAGCTGCAGATCTCAGGTTGGATGGAGCTGTGCTGTGCTTTCAGGATTCTGTTCTCCAAGTGCTGTAAATCCCACCCGTGGCTGGTTGGGATTGGCCAAATGTTCAGACCTACCCTGAGCTTCCCCCTGGGCAGTGAAGCATCCTGCCCTGGAATCACATCCTGGTGATCCTGGAGCTGGAGTGCTGGCTCTGGGCAGCTGAGCAGGCTGGGGGAGGCTGCAGGAGGAGCTGAGGGCTTTTCTGTCATAGAAAGAACAGAACTGCAGTGCAAAGTTTGTAATTTCTGCAGGAAGTGTCTGAACTAAAGTGTTTATCCTTAGTTGTGTAGATCCTGTCATCTTTCAGCCTCAGTCATTTCAGCTGGAGAAGCCAGGAAGGGAGGACTTTTCAGGACAGACTCATTTGCCAACACCTCAAAGTCAAAACTCATTTGTTTGGTCCCAAATGTTTCCTCTCCAGCCTCCCCAGTGCTGGGGGTGAAGAAGGTAACTCCTGTTGAACCATGTTAGCCCACAAAGAGCAGCCCTTGTTCAAGCAGGACTAACTCAGAATTCCCCAGGCTTGATCTCCCACTCCATTCTTACAAAATAACTTCATATTTTTTGTTTCTCTTTGCTCCCATCTCACCAAGCTTTTTCATCTCTGCTGTTTTCTAGATTCCTTGGTGCCCTCACACATCACTGCTTATTCTCTACTGTGAGAGGGGTGTGTAAGACCAGGATCAATCTTGTGATTGATGCTGCCTTATGCTGGGAACACCAGGAAGGAGATTGGCTTGTGCTGGGAACCCACTGGGGTTTGGAATGAGAGCAGCTCCTCCTGAATCCTGTGTTCTGTAGCAAGGAGGATGCTCAGGCAGCTGCTGTCATGCATTGAATTTTTAGACAGGAGCTTTTGTCTTTGCAGTGCCTTGGGCTCTCTCTGCTTTCACGTGTGAGCAATCCAAAGTGCTGAGCTGCACAATGAGCTGCTCCTTCTTGCTGCCATCTGAGCAATAAAAATAGTTCATACTTGGTTTCCCAAAACGTTACTGCAAATAAATGAGCACAAAAGAGGCTGCAGAAAAACATCTCTACCGGTCTGACAAAGTGCTCCCAGGGGTGTGCTGGTAGAGAGGCTGCTGGGGAGGTTCCTGGTAGCAAACCTGAGTTTTTAATCTGATGATAGAATGCAGTACAGCAGTGCCAGCCCGAGTCACAGCTCGAGGCCAGAGCTGATGGTACACAGCCCAAGGGGGCTGAATTTGCTGAGATGAAGGGAGGTAAAACCAATGGAGTCGTCTGTCTCTTGCACCTGTCTTGTTTACTTTTTTGCACTTCTAACCATTAACTGTTTCCCTAATCTCTGCTAATTACATCCTTAATTGCATTAATATGCATTTTCAAATCTTAGCAGGAGAGCCCAAATTTTAGTGTTGAAGCAGTTTGGAAGAGCTTCCCTGGAGCTGTAGGGACTCAGAGCAGTCTCTTCAGACACGAGGCTGACCTTTTGCTGTGGTAGGGGTGAAGTGCAGCAGGAGCTTTAGGACCTTGTACTCTACTCTTTGCCTACACATTAATCCGTGTAGTTTAATGACTTCTTCAAAGCTTTCCTACTGCTTCCCAGAACAAGCTGCCTGACTTGGAAAAGGGACATTGTTAGGTCACTTTGGGGCCAAACCTGCCCTAATGCCTCGACTGAAAAAAAAACAAGCGCGTAGTATGGAACTTGAAAGTAAAAATTCCAAAGAAGAAGTGAGAATTGTCTGTTGCCACTGGTCAGGCAGAGAGAGGCAAAAGCTAATTAAATGTGTCTTAATTGTTTTTCACTGCAGTCTTGAGTAGGAAGTGCTGGCTCTCCTGATAATCAAGGGAGCTGAGCCTTAATCCAGAGGATTCTGAGCTTCAAGAACAAAGTAACCTGAGAGTGTCCCTTCAATGACAGAGCAGCCAGTTACCAAACTTAACATTCTTTCTTCTGTCACTGTTGATCTTAGTCTTGCTTGTATAATGATACTTAGCATTCATCCTTTCATTAACTGATGCCTTTTCTTTCTTTCCTTTTCAGCAATACTGGAGTAATCGCTTCCTAAACAATTTTGCAGAAATGTAAGGTTGTTTTGTTGCGTGCATGTGTTTTTAGCAACACATCTACCAAAACTTCTGCATGTATCGTGTAAAGATTCTTTGCTTTCCCTTAAAAACAAAACTCATTGTGTTCTCTGTGGAAGAAATGTGTGGTACCATTAGGACTTCATGATACAGATGTACAAACGTGCAATATAGCTTACCAAGTCGGAACTCTCTCCAGAGAAGTTGGGTTTCTGTGCTGCATGGAGAAGAGTTTGGTTATCCTTGAACAAGAATTGCGGAGCTGTCAGCCGATTTCCGTATTCCTGTATGTAAAATGTCAGTTTATACAGTGTACAATATCAGATAATGCATGCCTTGGGTTGTAGATGGATCTCTCTCTGTATTGTATCATCCAAACATCCTACTCCAGCAGCTTCTGTACAATGCTCTCCTATTTATAAATCCATGGAAACGATTACAGATGAATGTTGAACCGTAAGCCTCCACTTCATAACGCTGGGTTTTTTTATCATCCGTGCAAATCAACCTCTTTTGCACTGTAATGTAACTTATTTAAATCTAAGGCAGTAAGACAGATGTTGGTGCAATACAAAATATCGTGATGCATTTATCTAAAAAGCAACAACGACGTAGCCAGTTCCCACAGCTGCATGTGTGACCTTTAGAAGTTGTAAATAAGATCAATTGTCTATTGACATGCTGACAGTAAAGGAGCATCACACCTAGTTTCATTTGTATCAGGTAAATAAATTTATTCTACAATACGTACTCGGCGTGTTATTTGATGCACTTTGTTTCCTGCAGGTCCGCCCGGGCTCTGCAGCGCGCTCTCGTTTTAATGCCAGGGTGACACTTTTTAGCACCAACACCATTGCAATCTTTCCTCCTAGAACTATGCAGATGCAGCTGCTCCTCAGCAGTGTTGACCTCCTCGCTGGTGTGATTTCCTCTGTCCAGGGGCTTGTGTGTGTGTTTAAGGGACACTGTCAAGTACTTTGATCACTCAGTTTTTTTAAAATGCTCCATTGTTTGTAAAATCCCTCTGAGAAACGTAAAATAAACAATTCTTTCCCAACTACATCTTTATTTTTTTTGGTCCTTTTCTGTTTTCTAAATTGCCCCAGCCTAAAGCAGCTCCCTGGTCTCTTCCCTTTCCATAGGCAAAAGGAAGATGAGCCAAATGCGTTTGCTCCAAAGCACAGCAGGAGCATCCTGCTGGGACTGCCTGGCAGTTTGGGCTCACTCCCTTCCCCAGACCAGGGGCTGTTCTGCCACAAGT